AAAGTGAATCAAAGCCAAAAAAAACCCACCTCAAGTAAAACCTAATATTGTGCAAAGCAAAAACAATAGCAATGGGGCAATATGCTGACTCTCTGTAAACCGCTTAGAGAGGGCTGAAAGCCCTATGAAGCGGTATATAAGTCTACTGCTATTGCTATTGCTATCATCTCGTGTCAGCTTCTCCCCCACTACCCAGTCAATTTGGGCTTATCAATGGGGGTGGGGAAAGACAGGGTGGGAAAGGTTCCTGGTGCTGATTCATCACTCTTGTGGCATAAATTAAGCTGAGTGCCCCTCTCCCCCTTTGGTGGCTTTAAGACACCTCTTCCCTGGGGGTGCCCCTCCCCCCCTTTTACCTGGTTGGAGTTCAGGAAGAAAATTTTCCGAAAGCCAGACAAGGAATAATGGATGGAAACTAAACAAGGAGAGATTCAACCTGGAAATGAGGAGACATTTTTTCTGACAGATCAACCAACCCATGGAACAGAAGTTGCCTTCAGAAATTGTGGGCGTTTCATCACTGAAAGCTTTCATGAAAAGACTGGACTGCCATCTGTCAGGAGTGGTGTAGGGTCTCCTGGTTGGGCAAAGGGTTTGGACTAGATGACCTACAAGGTCCCTTCCCACTGTTAATCCGTATCTGTCAAAGTAATGGGTAGGACTGAGCAACAAAGATGATGAAGGGACTGGAGGCTGAAACATTGGAAGAACAAAGTTTGCTGGAATCGGGTACCACGTCTAGTTTAATGGGGAAAAAAAGGATTCAGTGGGATTTGGCGGAGGGGGAAACCCCCAGGGAAAGGGCGTCTTAAGAGCCACCAAAGGGGGTGGGCAGCCAGCTTAATTTATGCTAACAAAAACTGCTTGCATCAGCACCTTTCCTAGCCTGCTTTTGGTTGCATTCCAGGGACTGCATAGAGACCTCAATGTTTGAAAAAAGTAGGAGTTAAAGTGGAGGATAGATGAAAGCTAGAGGGAAAAACCACCTGTTAGAATGAGAAAAGCTCATGGTTTTAATCTGAGCCTGGGAAACTCAGATTGACATATCCGAGGGGATTTCCCCCGCCCACCTGCCGTACCTGACCTCATCCCAACATTGTTTTCATATTGCTTTCTTAGGCATCTCAAAGCAGAGACATCACCCTGCCAACAAAAGTGCATATAGTCAAGGTGACGGTTTTCCCAGCTGCAATGTATGGCTGTGAAGGTTGGACCATAAGGAAGGCCGAGTGCCAGAGAATGGAGGCCTTTGAACTCTGGTGCTGGAGAAGAAGACTCCTGCACTGAGTCCCTTGGACTGCAAGGCCATCCAACCGGTCAGTCCTAGAGGAGATCAACCCTGACTGCTCTTTAGAAGGCCAGATCCTGAAGAGGAAACTCAAATGCTTTGGCCACCTAATGAGAAGGAAGAAGAACTCCCTGGAGAAGAGCCTCATGCTGGGAAAGATTGAGGGCAAAAGAAGAAGGGGACGGCAGAGAAGGAGGTGGCTGGATGGAGTCACTGAAGCAGTCGGCGTGAGCTTCAATGGACTCCAGAGGATGGTAGAGGACAGAAAGGCCTGGAGGAACATTGTCCATGGGGTCGGACACGACTTTGCAGCTAACAACAACAACAAGGCATCTCATGGACAAAATTCTTCAGTGACTCGAGGTCAGCAGGCAGCAATTTCATACCCCAGGCTTCCCCTCCTCCTGCAAAGCAGCCCAGAGTTTCGTGGATCGGCTCCGGACATCCAGCAAGGTGAGTCACCAAAGCTCCCTGGAAGCTGCTGCATCTGTCTGCAAAGATAGAAAGGAAATGATGGAGCTTGGAGATGCTACCACCACAGTGAGCATCTTTATGACAGCAGTGTTGGCGGAGAAAACCATTGAGTCTGCTTTCCAGAGGCTTTTTAAGGCAGCAACCCCCCCCAAAAAAACGTTTTGGGTACCAGGGACCGGTTATGTGGAGATTTCCACGGACCAGAGGAGGAGTGGTTTTGTGGGCTTCCTGTATCCCATGGATGGTACTTCGCTTGTTTGCGTGGCCTGGTTTCTGGCATGCCCAGTGCTGGTCCATTGATCTGGAGTTGGGGACCCCTGTTCTAAGGCATGTATGGTGGAAGTGTCCGAGTCTGAAGGACACGAGGTTGGGGAAAGGCTGGCCAGAAAAAGCGGAGCTCTCGGTGGAGAATCCCTGGGTTAGCTTTCACGTCAGCCTTGAGCTTCACTTTCCGTTGCTGATCCCTGTGGGAAAACTGATGCCTTTCCGCCCACGGAGTTCCCAAAACACATGATCAGGAAGCAGAGAGTCAAGGACAGCCGATTGCTATCCTAGGACTTTCCGTTCTGGCTGTAAACATTCAGGCAACCATCAGTGAGCAAGGAAGAGTCTCTCCCTATGTCTTTCTTTCTTGGACCCTTGCTTCCTGATCAAGTAGCTCTAATTTTGCAGATTTTCAGGGAGACCCTGACCCATCTTTATGCCGGCTCCTGTTTGATTGCAAATCTCTTCCAAAAACTCCACTCCCCCCCCCCTCTAGTTCCTGACACTTCCCCACGCAAAGGTAGAAAGATGCAAAGAAAAGTGACAAAAGAAAGCATTGGAGATGTTGCTAATTCCCTGAGGTCTGTCTGGCCAGGGAAGAGGAGGAAGAGACGGAGGAGGAGGAAGAGGAGGAGGGAATTCCTGATTCATTTGCATAGAATGACGCAGGTTGTTTGATGTCACATGGACACAACAGTGGAGCTGTTCTGTTTTGATTCCTGGATGTTAACGCCCTCTGCGGAACTCAAGAGCTAACGAGCCACTTTGATGGACTTTGGATTTATTTTGCACTTCAAACTCTTGATACGGATGGTTTTGGGGTTTTTCCATGAATTTATAAAAGGCTTCTAGGCACAGCTGCAATGAGAGAATGAGCTTCTAAATAGCAGCCACTGGAGGAGAGCCTCATGCTGGGAACGATGGAGGGCAGAAGAAGGAGACAACAGAGAAGGAGGTGGCTGGATGGAGTCACGGAAGCAATCAGCCTGAGCTTAAATGGACTCCAGAGGATGGTAGAGGGCAGGAAGGCCTGGAGGAATGTTGCCCATAGGATCAGAGTCGCGATGGGTCAGACACGACTTCGCAACAAAGAGGAAGAGTGACCCTCTGCTTCAAAGTTTTAAGAAGCTTTAGCCACTTTTCCTGAGCATTAAAACTTGGTTTGCAAGCTAGTGTTCTTTCAAACAAATGCAGAGTGCTATCTTCCTTCGAAAATAAAGCTGGCCTTGCTTGCTAGCGATTAAAAATTAAACCTCACTTGTCGCGTAACTTTCAGCCCTCAGTACAGGTTGTCCTCAACTTAAAACCACAATTGGGCCCCAAAATTCTGTTGCTAAGTGAGTTTTGCCCCATTTTATGCTTTCTTGCCACAGCTGTTAAGTGAACCACCACAGTTAATAAGTTAGCAATCTGGTTGTTAAGTGAATCTGGCTTCCCCATTGATCTCACTGGTCAAAACCACAGGACCTTGGGACACAGCAACGGTGATAAGTATGTGTCAGTTGCCAAGCATCTGACTTTTCATCCTGGGGATGCTACAAAGGTCGTAAGTAGGAAAAATGGTCATAAGTCCCTTTTTTTCAGTGCTGTTGTGACTTTCAACGGTCACTAAATGAACTGTTGTAAGTCAAGGACTACCTGAAGATTAGCCACTAGGCTAAAGTTCATGAGCTCTGAAAAATTATGTCTGTCTTGGAGAAAGGAATCTCAATTACTTCCTTCTGTAGCCAATGGTTGCATCAACTTTAACTATTTCCTGTTTTGATAAAAGCCTCAAAGTGCAACTCAAATGTTTTAGTCCCAGACAGCCCAGAAATAAACAGTTTACCTCTTACAGAGTTCCTGATTTATCCAACTATTGCCATTTTTTCACCTTTAATTTTATACCCATTTTCACAGACTTCAAAGAAGGCATTCAAACCAGCCTGGAACACAGTTTTTTTTTTAAAAAACAACAACCAAGTGAATTTAATTTTACAAAATAATTCAAAAGCATCAGATGGCAACAAGTGACATGAGACATTTACAAAGAGTTTTCAACCGTGAAAAACGGAGAATTAGAAGGGAGCCTGAGCAGATATTCCTGGTAAGGAGATTCCAAAGAAAAGACGGTTGCTTCTCTCCATATTTTTTTTATACCATGTTTAACTACATCCAGTACTCCGCAAGAGAGGATCAGCCTTCCTTGTTCAGACAACTAAAATAACCTTTGACAGTTTGGCCTGGAACTTCAGAGGTCTTACTTTTAAATATATTTTGGATCAAAACCGCCTCTGAATTTGCCTAAAAAAACAGTATGAGAGAAGGTAAAGGTTCCCCTTGCACATATGTGCTAGCTGTTCCTGACTCTAGGTGGCAGTGCTCATCTCCGTTTCAAAGCCAAAGAGCCAGTGCTGTCCGAAGACGTCTCCGTGGTCATGTGGCCAGTATGACTCAATGCCGAAGGTGCACGGAATGCTGTTCCCTTCCCACCAAAGGTGGTCCCTAGTTTTCTACTTGCATTTTTTACGTGCTTTCGAACTGCTAGATTGGCAGAAGCTGGG